GCTTGTTGACAGTGCATATACCCTCTTACAAATCCTTGAATTTAATACGGAGATGGCATTCGCAGGACGTGTTGCTAATTCAAAGTTTGGTACGCCCCAAAATGCGAAGAATATCAAGGATTTTGGTTCTAGCCTCTTCGCTGTGCTGATATCCTGTGACTGGAGACTTTCCCCGGTTGTGGAGGTAGTTTGTCGGTGCTGGGAGAGACGATGTGAGGAAGAAGGGGTGCTGAGATGGGAAAGGGTGCTTTTCACTACGACACAAGTGCGTCGTGTCTAAACAACGGGAATAAAAGATGGAGGTTTTTATTCCAGCTCCCGCCGACTGTGAAGTGCGGTCAGTGATAACGCTAGGCCGCACACGGCTCGACGGACAGCAAGTCTCCTGCAGGAGTTCAGCTGGGAGGTGTTTAATCATTCACCCTACAGCCCGGACCTCGCTCCCAGTGATTTCCATCTTTTCCTACACCTCAAGAAATTCCTGTCCGGTCAGCGTCAGCGTTTTGAGAATGACAGAGAGGCGGAGATGGTTGTCACACAGTGGTTCCAATCCCAGGCGGCAGACTTCTACGACCCAGGTATTCAAAAGTTGGTCCCACGGTATGACAAATGTCTCAATTCCGGTGGCGAATATGTTGAAAAATAGCTGGACACTTGCTGTATCTGTTGCAATAAATATTTCCATGAAATTGTGTTTTGTTTCTGTAAACGGCCCCAGGGAAACTTACTTTGTGGACGAGCCTCGTAGCAAGCGCCATGATGCTCTTCAACGTTCAGATCGTAGTAGGAACGCGTGCATTTCGTTCTTCATGAACTCCTTATACGCTTTAGGTCATATTAAAATGTAATAGAATTTGGAGGTCTTATTTCAGAGGCGCCGCCCCAGATGACCTCAGTGACACTGCCTGAGAAGAGAAATCAATGGCGCGGACTTTATGGTGACCGTGTTTATTTCAAACGAGTAAGACGTATATGTCATCCGCATTTATCTTACTAACAGTGGAGATGGGTAAAGGATCTTAGGATATTTCGTACCTCGCAGTAGATAAACTATTATTGAATTTCACCGACTCTTGTATACATGATAATGACATAAAATGCGCAGAATTTGTTGTTAACCCTTTGAAGCCGAAGATCGTCTGAATATTATTTATGAATTCAGTCCGTACCGCGAAGAAAACACTACACCTCACCATTACGAAAATCAGCTGGTTAACCCTTTGAAGCCGAAGCTCGTCTTCATAATATTTACGAATCCAGACCGTACCGCGAAGAAAACACTTCACTTAACCATTAGAAGTCGAATCAGGCGGTACCACATAAGATTTAACAAAAGAACAACCCGGTCAAAGCCTTAACCAGCTGAGAGATTGTCAGTTTCTCAAGACCCACCGCGGCGCAATGGCGTGATTAATATTCGTCTTTCAACGTCAACACCGGTCATGACTCACGGTGTTCCGTGTTCTTTGGAGAGGGAATCGTAATATGACAAGCGACAGCCGCTTCTGCGTGCAGTGTTACCACCTTCATGATGCCACTTGTTATTCGACGCTAGTGACCTCTGCAAATGAAACAGCGTCTTTCAGTATAATTTCTCAACAGCAGTGAAAAGAAAGTAGTTCATAAAATCGTTTCACTAAACATTTTTTACGAAAAATATAGTCAGGTTTGTCGCCGTTAATAAATTATTCCGTGCACATAATAATTCGACTGTTCTCAGTGGAACTGAACAGAATTATCATTCTTGGAAATGTATTCGGCCTGACTTAAGCCGTACATTGAAGACATGTCGCACGCGCTCTTGAGTTGGTTGTCACCACAAGCGCTCACTTCCGTAAACCAAGACTTCCTGTTTCATTGCAACCGCCGAAATTAGTTGACAAGTGATTTGTCTCCTCGTGCTGATAACTTGACAGTTTGGCTCTGTCAGAGTGTCACCAGGCTATGTATAGATGTCAGGACGCTTTCCTGTCGGACAGAAGTCAGTGAACGTTTGAGCAGGCATCGGACTTCGAAGCGTCAACCACACGGAACGCGTCTCAAGAGTACGGCCGGCCGCGTTGCTCGGTAGATGGCACAGAGCCAAAAATGGATGTGGCCACATCGCGTCGATAAGTCTGCACTACACCCGGAAAGAGCGCGCGCCTTTTTTTTTAACGCTATAAGTATGTCGGAATACACCCACCACGGACATATTTGAAGCATCAGAGGTTTTAGAATGCGAGATTTTGAGATTTAATCGCTGTGAACAGCTCGGATTCTGTAAGCACTAAAATATACAGGACTTGCATAAAGAAAACGAACTTTTATTTTCGAAATTGCGCACAAGAAAGTACTGCCAAGATGTGCAGGGTAATTAATACCAGACACGAAGATCACTATTTGAATAATAAAAGGAACTACGTTTCAAAAACTATTGCTTTAATTTGAAGAATGCTGGGATCATCCAGAATGTTCCCGGGTGTCACGAAATACAGTTCACTGCTGGTGTTTCGTGCTCGATGTAAACAAATAGCGATGTTTAAATAGAAACAAAGTGATCAAGCTCTTTGTCGCCGGAAAGCAAAATATCCATGGGAAGGGCGGTCAGTCTGGTCGAAGTCGTGTGCCAAGTGTAACTGCTCTTGGCAATGAAGGACACAGCAGTTGCAAACAACTTAGAGCCTCACAAAAAATATTTTAATGTACATATTAATCTGCTGTGCAAACATTATTTGTCTTTCCTTTGCGTAGTAATTTTTGTGCAAATCGTCCCAACTCTCTATCCAAAACCACATAATTCCTTTTGAACCAGCCGTTTTCTACAAGACGATGTTTTCATAACGCGGTATTTTCCAAAAAAATAAATTGTCGCGTTATCGGACAAACGACTGTGTGCAGTGAACTGTCTTCTGAATAGTCTCCCAGAAATTGACAGGCGTTTCAGAGGTGTTTGCTGACTCCAGCACTGTCTCCCTGAAGACAATCATACTCATTCATGGCCCTGATGATGGAGGCAGAAAGTACCTGTGAAACGTCTGTCAATTTCTGGGAGACTACACGGCGCAACAACCCAGAAGACGGTGATCTTAAACAATACGAATCTCTTACAACGTGGATGGAATAAAATAAAAAAAACATCGGAAGAATGAGAATTATAAGATACAAGAAAAGATTGTTTTGTATAATACCCTTTACAGGCCAACAGGTGGTAAGTGTAATGTTGATTGAGGAATGAGTCCAAGTGGTGCTTTTCTAGACTGGATCGAGCTTAATCTGGGCGGTCCATTGTCTGTTTGTTGAGTAAGTATTACGATCTAGAACAAATGCCACTCTTACTGGAATTACTGATAAGTGGGCTTTCGCGGTTTATAATAGCCGTTTCAATTGGAAGCTGCAGAGTTTAGGTCATGATTGTTGCACGTGTACCCTACGTATGTAGAACGAGTGGCTTATTTATGCGTAAACATTCTTTTCAGCTCGAAGCAGGCCACAGATAAGCTCACAGACGCTTTGAAGTGCGGAGTTCGTCCACCAAGAACCTAACCTCATTTCAATTAGTGTTCAATCTGACGGCAATTGTTGTTGGAAAATGGTAGCTTTTCACCGTGATAACGAAACGAAACCCATTATTGCATTCTTAGTGTAAAATGCAAAGTTCTTGAGCGCTAAAGATGTGGTACTATAGTAACCTAGATTAGATTATTAGAATTGTAATGACGCTGTTTGAACATCAGGGTTTATATTATTTTGTATTCCGTCGAATCAACTGACAAAATCATTAGGTCACTGTGAATAAGTAAGAATTCTAATGAGTTTGTTGTGTGACATATTTAATAAGTCAGCTGACACAAGGAACATAAAAGACAGACAAAGAACTTTGCATTATTTTCATGCTTGCTTCTAAGAATAGATCTATAAATGCCCACCTTCCACAAACATGTTATTTGACAACTTCCTTTGGCAACGCAGTATGTTTACGTGATACAGCCCATTCTTCTGTTTTTATTTCGAGAATAAACTCGTTTAATTACGCTTGCCACCTTGCTCTGCTCGAACATAAACATTAAACCCTATTTACAACGATGCTTCGCGTCGCCGCCATATTCTAGTGCTTATATTGTTTGTTTACACAACACAGACCACCACATTCTTAAGGCTCAGACCTCCGTTGACATGCCATTATCATACAAAAAACTGTATAGAACTGATCCAAAATTTCAGAAGAAATGCTTCAGAATTATCCGAAGTCTCCCATAACTTCGGCGAGATTTCAGGTTCTCACGACAATGAATATTAAGATGGCTGTCTTCTGTTGCACCGTGTGGTCTGGTAGACGGATTAGGGTGATCACTACCCTCCTCCTCTGAAACGTCGGCCAGCATCTACCATACTACATGGTGAAACATCCAAAAAAGATAGCCAACTTCTCCCCAAAAAAAAAAATCTTTAAGCTAATGTATCTAGCAATTATTTATTCTCGTAGATCATGATGAAAAACTGTTTGAAGGATGCAATTTTCTTCAATCTTTTAAACATCTCTTCCCTTTTATGGTAATCGTTGCAGTTTTAAAATTCTACTGTGCTTTGGTACGTATTTTGTGTAAAGTGCAAAACAGTGGTTCTCAAAATTTTGGTACTTGCAGTGCTAAGTAAACTTTAAATTGTGAACACAGCATTGTTTTCGCACTACTGCACAATGTTATATTTTATAATTTTCAGAAGTTATTTTTTTGGGGGAGGGGGGTGCTGAAGTTTCGCGTGTTGCGCCGACCTTGATTGCAGGAACTATTTTTGAACTTCGGGGGTCCCGTAATATTTACCGAACAACGTAAAGCTTTCATCCTTTTTTTTTAATTTCTCAATACGATCTAGATTAGTTTTTTTCCCGACAAACACTATCGCAGATTACCTGTCAAGTCACCACTAATGTACCGTAGGTTGTAAATATGGCAACTGTTTAATTCTGATAGCTTCTTATCTATCATGCCAGAACAAATGTGATTAATTATCTGTTGCAGTTTTCCTGAACATGCAATAACTGCTGTACTAAACCTTGCCAATTATTTTGGTACTTTATTTTATCACATACATTTACGGATGAAGTTGGTAAGCAAATTTTTTCATACTTCAAGCGGTTAGAAATGGCCGACTGCGAGAAGGAAGAAGCAGCTAATTTGGTAAGTTGATTAAATTTTAGACCCGAGACTAGTGCTATGATGTCGTGATAACTACGTAGGAAAATGAGTGCATTTCAATACCACTCTTCTAACAACGTTATCATGAAGGAGTTACTAAATTTGTCGTCGTAAGGGGCAATTAAACTGTATTGAACGAAGTAATTTATCTTTCGACATCGTTTTGAGTAATTTAGGTTATGTTTGGATCTCATTGAATACATAATGACTTTGTAGTTTACAGAGAAGGTTTGTTAAATTGTATTTATATGTTTGTTTCAGCAAGTGGAATTTGAATGGGTTTTGCATGAAGAGGTTCATGCTGTACTTAATCAACTTCATACCATTCTACTGGTAATGTATAGTATTTAATTGGTATTATTATTTGATTTAACCTCTTTGTTACATATTTTTGCAATGTAGGTGGGGTGTCTGTGTGTGTTGTGTGAGTAGTAGATTTTGTGTTTCAATATTTGTACTTAGAAGTGATATGACTTACTGCTGGTTAAAATATAGACATGGCATGAATTCGCCCAGTATTACACTATGTGTACCAGTAAATGTAAGAAGATAATTTTTACAGATAGTTTAGGATGATTCAGTTCACATTCATGGTTTTCTATTCATATTAATAATATTTATGGGCATACATAATGTATTGTGGTGGTGAATCGGTAGTCTGCTTATTCAGTACCCATACATGTTAACGACCAGTTAACATCTTTAATTTCAATTTAGTAATTAGTGTGAAATAAGTTTATAAAGCATATAAGCTGTGCAAAAGGAGAAAGTGAAAGAATCAAAAGGCAGTTTATAAGGATTTACTGTGTCTGCGACTACCCACAAATGTTGCTGATCATGAATTATTAAAATAGAAGGGTGAGAAGATTAAATAAATAAATCTACAAGG